GACAGACAGACAGACAGACAGACAGACACAGACAGACAGACAGACAGACAGACAGATAGATGATAGATGATAGATAGATGATAGATAGATTAGATAGATCAGACGATAGATAGATAGATAGATAGATAGATAGATAGATAGATAGATAGATAAACAATAGATGATGATGATGATGATAGATATATAGATAGATAGATAGATAGATAGATGATAGCTAAACAATAGATGATGATGATGATGATGATGATGATGATGATAGATAGATAGATAGATAGATAGATAGATAGATAGATAGATAGATAGATAGATAGATAGATAATAAATAGATATGCTACCTCCAGACACCAGGTACTGTATGGTGCCCCTGGAATTTCTCACCACTTGCAGAAGTACAGTGATAATAACAGTGAAAGTCTGCTGTATCATAAACTTTCACTGTTATGATCACCACACTTCTCCAAACCACCTATCCTGGTTTGGCTCTGCTTGAACGGAGTTCTCTGGAAAATATGGACATGTTATAATGTGCGTGTTTATTCACAAATATGCAAAATGATCATGGCAAAAGGCTTCAACACAGCAGTCGGTAGTTTCACTCTTATGCTTCTGATCAGATCTCACAAGGCAACCAGTCTGGTGCTTCTGATCCCACCATTCACATTTCAATCAGCCTCCTTCATTGACGCAGTACGTGTGAAGATTAAAGCTCTGAACTTTCTAAAAATCTCCAGCCATTCCTAGTCATCCGCCTGGATCACATAAAATGCTAAGCTATCACGCGGTTGGTTTAATTTTGGCCTACTGCAATGTGTGACCAGCCATAATGGCTTAAAGTTACACACAAACCAAACCTCTATGGCTTGTTCACGGAATCATAGTTTAAAAAACCCGGCTAGGTGTTATGTGTAAACCAGCTCTTGAGAGCAATTGGCTAACCTCAAAACATAATGCATTTAGCTTTCGATTAGTCTCCCTGCGCGTCCCATCCGGCAGCAAAATACTGCCGAACAATTCCGTGCAATTTGTTGGGATACAGAACTTTTGTCTTTCCCTCCCTTTTGTACCTACTCCCTTTCTAGGCCTTCTCTTTACCTGCTTTGATGATATGCACACACCGGTTCATGGCTCCAGTGCATTTCAAACGCTGCAATTTGTTGAGGGCACACTCCCCATGCCCTGAATCTCGACAAGTGTAGCACTGTAGCCCATTGGGCAGTCCGGCAGGTATCTCTGCAGGTAGAAGGAAAAGAAGCTGCAGCAGAGATCATGGTTTCTACCAACTGCAAGGGGAACCCAGGAGGCCCGAAGGAAAGCAGATGAAATGGAAGCAGTTAGAAAGTTAGAGTAGTTAAATAGCTGTAGAGGTTTTACTTATTGTAAGCTTATAACTAAGCCCAGTAGAAAGCTGGTCTTCATTGTCTTCAGTCATTCATTCATTCCCACCTTTTTCCAAATAATCTTAAGTGGTTTATAAAATAAAAGGTATGGAAACACAAAACAATCACATAAAAGCATTGCAAAAGAATTCCTACAGCCAATTAAAATAAAGCAAAACCAAAAACCACTGATATGCCTATCGCTTTCTTGGAAAATGTTCTAAAAGTGATCCAGTTGCTGCTTTTCAGTAAGAGCATTTTGACTCAGTCCCTCTGAATGGCACTTCAGGGATTCCATTTTTTTTTAATCCCGCCTTTATTATTTTTATAAATAACTCAAGGCGGTGAACACACCTAGTACTGTACTCCTTCCTCCTCCTATTTTCCTCACAATAACAACTCTGTGAGGTGGGTTGGGCTGAGAGAGAGGGACTGGCCCAAAGTCACCCAGCTGGTTTTTCATGCCTCAGGCGGGACTAGAACTCACCATCTCTTGGATTCTAGCCTGGTGCCTTCACCACTAGGCCAAACTGACTCTCAAATAAATAAAAACCTTTCTTTCTTTCTGCTTGCAAGCCATGGGTCCATTTCCTACACGTGAACTTCTACAACCAAACAGGATCTGCAGAACTGTGTGTCAGCTTGAAGCAAACCGACAAAGCAACAAATAGGGAGGGGCAGGGAGGTGATAACATGCTAGCGCAAGATAGACCTCGTGATGAGTCAAGACTTGGTGACTCCTTCAAGGGAAAGGGCAATCTGGACTAGGAAACTTGGTCCAACTGATGCAACCATGTGATGGGCTGTGGAAATAACATTGGGAGAAAGGAGGAAGAGCCACAGCCAGGGCAACCGTCAGACGAGATATCTCAGCCCACAGAAGGAATGGGTGTGGAGAACCTTCTCAGAAGGGACTCTCCCTAGTTTTCTGGCAAGTAAAAGTAAAGGAGCAGAGAAGGGCTTTCAGACTAGCAAGATTCTGTTACTGTAACCTTAAATAAAGGTAGTGTTAGTCCTCATGGTTTTGGTTTCCTGTCTGGACTACCTCAAAGAGCTCACAAGGAGGGTGTTAACAATTTCCTTCCGGGGGAAAAAATATATTCATGTAGGGCTACCAGATCTGGGCTGCAAAAAAATCCAAATCACTTACCAGTCAGCGCAATTCATTACATTTCTTTTGTTTGTTTGTTTCTCTGCCTCTATTTTTATTTTTTTTCCATTAGAAAACTATACGGATATATAAATATAGAGATATTTATTTCCCTCTTCCCTCTCAACATCACTCTACACTTGTTTTGTCATTAGTATTATCATCCTCATCCTCATCATCACCATCCTTTTATTTTATTTAAAATAAAGGTACATTTTCCAAAAAGACAAAATTATCTGTGGATAAACTGATAATTACTGAGGTTGTGCAATTATTACTCAATATGGCATTAGTAAAAGTTCCAAGCAGAGTATATTATGTTATTAATTCATTACATTTCCATACTGCTTTGTTGCCATCCAGTGGTGGACTGGATATGGTTATGGGGTTTATATTGATATTTATTAATTGATATTTAAATTTATGTACACATCTATTTCTATATTACCCTATTTCAAAAGATTCAGGGACTTGACAATATGACAGAATAAGATGAAAAAAAAGTACAATGACTTTATTGGACTTACCTGGAAAACTCCTATTATTGCAGTTGGACTGGCCACAGACCTTTTGGTCAAGAAAGGCAACATCTCTCCCAATCTGGTAGAGCACCTGCACATCTTTGAAGGAACTATTTCCACATCCCTTTATGATGGGTTCTAGCTCTTCCCCTGAAGAGGACAATCATCCAATGATTTGTATGCCTCAGTATCATAGTCTATCATAGTCTATTCCAGTGTTTCTCAACCTCAGCAACTCTGTGGACTTCAACTCCCAGAATTCCTCAGCCAGCATTCCTCAGCCAGCCAGGAATTCTGGGAGTTGAAGTCCACACATCTTAAAGTTGATAAGGTTGAGAAGTCCATACATCTTAAAGTTGAAAATGATGAGAAATCCACACATCTTAAAGTTGATAATGTCAACATGGGATGACATTTCAAAGAATTTGAGATGTAATAGAAGTGTTTCTCTAACATCTTTTTATTAATGACGTTTGGGAAACATTACTACAGCATGGGAGGAAACAGGAAAGGGTCTTTGTTTGATCATCTACTCAGCATGCAATTTTATGTACATTCAATGCACACGCACACCTGCACAGACACACACCAGTTGCAATTTAACATTTAACTAGATAGGTGTTTCTCAACCTCAACAACTTTAAGTTGTGTGGACTTGAACTTCCAGAATTCCCCAGACTCTGGGAGTTGAAGTCCACATAGCTTAAAGTTGCTGAGGTTAAGAAACACTGGTCTGTTCAACGTTTTTTAGCTAAAAATTTATATGCAGTACTCTAACCATTCATCTAAAAATAATTCCATGTATTCTTCTATTATATAGAAAAATATATATAACTTTTCTATAGGGCAATTGCAGAGTTGTTACGTGGCTGTGCCAGACTAAGTTTGCTTTCAATTTGCAATGTCTAATGTTTCTGTAGTTAACTGGAAGTGGATTTAAAACACTGGTTCTCCAGAGTATTTCTTAAGCATGGTACAGCCAGAATCCAGCTGTAATGTTTACTCAGTAAATTTGCAGGTTGGCCAGCCACTTAAATAAAATAAAAGCTTGAGGTCTTGTGCTTTTAATTAAAAGCTTCCTGCTAAATTTGTGCTACTTGTTCAGTGTAGCTAAGGGATAGAGTTGAATTGTGCCTAAACTGCTCATGAACTACACTTACACAATAAATTGCTGCACCTTAAAGAGAGAGGTTTCTTTTAATTCTATTATTTTCTTTAATTCAATAGGAAAATAGCTATTTTTCACTATGGTAGAAAATTACAAAGTGACACACGGAAATCAAGAATAAACCTCCTGCCAACCAACTGGAACAGAGAAGTTGTGTGTTTTGTCACACAACCCTGCCGAGTTATCTCACATCGACACCCACTTGTACCTGGTAGGAAGCGCTGGGAAATCTGCACGCACTGATCTGCACTCCCATAGCATTGCTTCGAAGGGGCCGTTAGACCACATTCTGCTGGGCTCCCAATGCAACCTTGACACACCACCCCGTTTTGCAATCCATCTCGGTTGACTGTTTAAAATGACAGGCAGGGAGAGGAGAGAATGGAAGAACTCACTCAATTTGTAGATTGAGCTCCATAATTGGGGACAATCAAACCACCGTCAATATATATATGCAAACATACCAGAACCTACCAAAAGATTAATGTGCAAATTTTTAAAGTTCTCCTGATGCCCTCAGGGTACACAAAAAAGTAAGAGAAGGAGACAGAGACCCCTACAAATTAGTTCAAGCAACATGACTAGCAGGGTCTGGCACTTTGGCCCTTTCACCGTTTCTGAGCTATGCTGCCCTCCGTTCATCCTTGAATTAGGATGAATTAGAATTAGAATTGAATGTCATGCTGATCCTTGAATCAGCATGACATCGGCTGTCCCCGTTGCCAACCCCTGTCCTGCCTATTACCTCTGGGTCTACTTAACTGCCACTTGACTTCCATCCAAGGTAATGAGTGACAAAAATCTAACAGAATTTATACACCTGAGACTGTCCTTGGACAGTGTTGGAAGAAGAGGGAAAACATAACTTAAGGGTAGCACAGCCAAAGAGGACTTAGGCTTTCTCACCCACGGGAAATGACCATGTATGTGCCATGCTTCGTGCAAGTGGGAAAGGACCCCAGGGTCTGTGGCAGGAAGGACTGCAGAGGGATTGTTTTATTCCCTAGGAGATATTGCAAGTATCAATTTCCACCTAGCAGTCTGGAGTTAGAGACCCTTCTGCCATTACAGGACACTGATTAGCCTGGGCTTTGCTATCTTCCAATTCTGTTGGAATGGGGTAGGAAGACCTTTGGACCTCAGCATCATTTTTGTGGCTCCAAAAGCCTCTCAGACAGGGCCAGGCCCAGGAAGAGCCAGAGAAATGGCATTAGTTATCCTCTTTTTAAGAGCAAATTCAAAAAGTGAGTGGTGCAGACTGCAAAGGAGGGACTCTCAAACAAGGGGATGCTTTTAGCAAGTTTGGAGAAATCATTAAAAGAAGTATAAAAGTGCGGGGGGGACTAAAGGGGTCAAGTCCTCTCCTCCCCAGAATCCAACCATAAGAGCATGCTACATGACCACAAAATGTTGACTGGGGAATTCTGGGAGTTGAAGTCCACACGGCTTAAAGCTGCCAAGGTTGAGGAACACTGATCTAGTCAGTAGAAATGGGATGGAAAACCCCAAGGAGGAAGGGAAATTGTGAAACCAGGCAAGTTTCAAGGAAGCAAGAACTACAGACTTCAGCTAGTCTTATTCTAAGGCTTATTGCTAATCTGCAGTACATCCAGAATCTTGAAAACTGTAATAGGAAATCCCCAGCTTCAGTAATAGTGAGTTCATTAAGGGTAAGTCTCTTTGAATGCTTTGAAATGCTTCTTCCCAGATTTCTCTTCACCTGGGCTAAGTTACAATTGTTGTAATAATAATAATACTTTATTGATTAGTCATATCAGAATACAAAATACAGAACGGTAATAAGGCCATATGTTAGAAAATGGAGTAAAAGACATAAGTAAAAGAAAACGCAAATCTTATTTCTGTGTCACCCCTACAATTTACCCCTGTCAGATCCAAAGAGGCAGTTCTCAATTGTAATGTTTTGTTCAGATAAAGGGCTGTATTATATGTAGTTTTGGGGCTCTGACCACCCATGAAATACATTGTTTTAATGTAAGGATCCCAATAGGCCGTTCGTCTAAAGTGCAGTCTAAAATATTGATCACTCTCTTTCTTAGATAGTTGATGTTACAGTTGATGAGATATGTTGTCTACTGACCCACCCATTACTCTTGGCTATTTAGGTCTGCATTCTCTTCTCTTCCTTTCTCAGCCTCCCCATAATCTCTGGCAAAATGAAATGGAGCATTTCAAAAAAGCACCAAGAACCAGTTTGGTGTCATGGTTAAGGCACCAGGCTAGAAACCGGGAGACCATAAGTTCTAGTCCCATGAAGCCAGATGGTTGCCTCTGGGCCAGTCCCTCTCTCCCAGCCCTAGGAAGGCGATGACAAACCACTTCTGAAGATCTTGCCAAGAAAACTGCAGGGACATGTCCTTGTAGTTGCTAGCAAGATTTGACTCGAAGGCACCAAAAATACAAAGAAGAACACAAGGCTGACTTCCACCCCTCTGCATCAGAACTTCACCTTGCATAAGGAGGTCCATGGGGTGTGGTCAAAAAACTCAAGATAGTGGCCGAGACACCGTGATCAAATCTCTGCACTTTTTTTATGCATATGGCACCCCTGCACACTCCCTTGACCGTGCAGCATTTTTGTACACATAACACTTGCAGCATCTTGGGCTGAATTTGTTTTCTTTCACTGCCATGGAACACAGTTGACATGTTCAAGGAACTTTGTCTCTGGCTCCCAAAATCACTTGGCTACGAAGTCACAAACCCACAAGCCACCTAGACTTCCTCAGCAGGTGTTACATTCTGGGTTCCTGACATGCACCTGTTGCTTGCCCTTTTACATACCTTGCAAATGCACAGGTTGGCAAAGATTCAAAGAGCAACACCACATGGTTCGGAACAAGGAACCCTTCGTTCCCGCAGAGTACCGTCGGCAAGCATTTGAGGATCCACAGCCCTGTTTGGCCGTATCTGCGCTCACTACAGAGAAAAGAATAAATTACAAGATTACTTACCATCAGGTGGAAGTACTATCTGAAGAGTCTTTGGGGATTTGTAGAATTATCTTGTACAGTTGGTTGCAATCTATGAAGTGACTTACTGTATTGTAATAGTATGTGGGAATGACCTTGGGAGACAGGAGGAAGACTAGACAACAGATAAATGTCACCTGAGTCTGCAGAAGGAATTGGGGCGTGGCAAGTGTCTCAGAAGGGACCCTCCCTAGTTTCCTGGACTGTGAAGGCGAGAGGGAGAGATGTACTTTCAGACTTGCAAGATTCTGTAAATGTAACCTTACAATAAAGATAGAGCTAGTACTCCTGGGTGTGCTTCTTGTCTGAACTACTTCACAAGCCTGACATTTATTGAATTGCCTTTGAGAGCTGGTGGCTAATGGCTGTTGTTCCTTATTTAATTTTGTAGGAGCTAGAGAAAAATTACTTGGTTGCTTTTAGAGAAGGTATGCATGTATTTCTTTGAAGAAATTAGCCTGGAAGATCCCAGATGTTGTGCTAGACTGTTAGTCCATTTAGACCTGGACCCACAAAGTCATCCTCTGGGGGACAAGGGGGCAAATGATCTCACGAATGTTGTGACATCACCACATGAATGCCATGGATTATGTAATTTGCACAATATCATGACAAGCTGTGGCTTGTAACAGACCCCTGTGCCTAGGATGACCTACTATCTAAACCAAACACAGCAACCTGTGCCCCCAAAATACCTGAGATCATGCTGCTAAAATTTGGTGGCAAAATGGCTGAATTTTGAGAGAATTGATTTTGTTTGCTTGTTATCCAAAATTCAGAGTGGGAATGCGAACAGCAACTCCCTCTCCAACCCTACCCTAACTCAAAAACCAACAACAGAAGCATATTTCTGACCAATTTCCTCACATTTTGGCATTTTTCAAGGGGTTGAGGACTGGCCTCTGAGAGACAAAAGATTTCCCATTCCCACTTTTTAAACTACCCCTTTCCAAGGTTGCAAAATACCTCAAAAATTTGATTTGGCAATTTAAATCTTTGTTTATTGGTACCCACATGGTATCTGAACCCTCAGTGGAATGCTACCCCAAGATTCTGTAGAGCAGTGTTTCTAAACCTTGGCAACTTTAAGATGGGTAGACTTCAACTCCCAGAATTCCCCAGCCAGCCTCAAATTCTGGGAGTTGAAGTTCACCCATCTTAAAGTTGCCAAGGTTGAGAAACACTGCTCTATAGAATATTGAGCAAGGGGAATCAATACTTTGAGCTGCTGACCTACAATCCCTTTTATATTCCAAACCATCCTCTCCACACAGTATATCTCTAGCAGCAATCTGCTTCTGACTCTTGAAGAACTTGGAGAAAAAAAAGGAATCTGTTCTTTGTCTTTGACAAACAGGGAGCAAAATACAGCCAAATCACTGCAAATGTATTTCTGACCTTTAAAGAAGAGCCAGTTTGGTGTAGCGGTTAAGGCACCAGGCTAGAAACTGGGAGACCGTGAGTTCTAGTCCCACCTCAGGCACAAAGCCAGCTGGGTGACCTTGGGCCAGTTGCTCTCTCTCACTCCTGGGAAGAAGGCAATAGCAGGCCTCCTCTGAAATCTTGCCAAGCACACTGCAGAGACTTGTCCAGGAAGTCACCAGGAGTCAAAAACTGACTCAAAGGGACACACACACAGACACACAAAACCTTTAAAGAACAAGACTTACATCCATGGTACTTCTTGATCACAAAGAAGCAAGCATTTTGGTTGGGCTTGCAAACTTCCACTTGGGCCATCGAACAGTTTCCTTCATTAACTAAGCACTTATGACATTCCAAGCCATTGGCTGAAGAAAAAGATATGGATGACAAGAATCAATATTCAGCATTATCTCCACTGAATAATGTAATTTTGTAATCTTTCCAAACGGGCATGCTCCAGATATGGTGGGACTGGGTTTCTGATCATTCCTAGCTCAGTTCTGCATGATCTGCCAGGCATCACCCAGCCTTTCCAAATCTGGCTGGGAATTTTGGAATGGCAGTCCCCATACGAATGTACCACACCAATTTGGGAAGATTGCAATAGCCATCTTAAGAGGGTGGTAAATTCTAGCACCATATCACTAAATTGTACATCACCCACAAGCTAAGCATGCTTTCAGGAGATCTATCCAGATAGATCTGTAGAGCTCTTTAAGGCATACAGTAACTCCATCTTCTCATCCTTTAAGGAAAAATGTATCATTGGTTTGGTTTGGCGCACACAGTAACTTCTCCTGGGAAATGAGTTAATCAAACTGATGAGAATAGATACTACGCTTGTGCTTCACCAAAATGTCAAGAAGCATCGCTATTGCTGTGAGACAATTAATTATCTAGCCATTTATTAATTTATTTTCCTTAAGCTGATTCATGTTTTCCTTTTTACATTCTTTCCTGGTTCTCCTGATTGCATTAATACACGCAGTGTCTTAGGTTTGCTCTAGGCGTCATCCTCCGGCTGTAAATTTCATCTGAAAACATTCTAATTATAATAACTCTTTAATCTCCTGGTTTTTCCCCTTGTTCTTACTTGATTATACGGTATTGTAATATGCTGGATGTTTTGGTTTGGACCACAAATAAAGTTCAGCTAACTGTTGAATTAATCATTTTTCTGGTTTGGGCATTACATGGAACCATAAATCAGCAGAGAATTGATTTGACTAACATGAATTTTGTTCCTGTGATCTTACATTCCGATTAATACCAAAAAAAACTGCTTTGTATATACTGGGCATGTCACAGAATGTTTAAGAAGGACTGGCTGGTTGCAATAGCCTTGCTGATGGAGGTGCAACTCAGAGTTTCAGTTTGTCCTCTGCTCACCACAGTTAAGGACAGGAAGGCCTGGCGCAATATGGTTCATGGGGTCACGAAGAGTTGGACATGACTTAACGACTGAACAACAACAAACCACAGTTTTGACTGAAATCAGCAAGATGCTTAACCGTCTCTGGGTCAATTGTGTGTTGGAGTTGCGTACGATTCTTGGCTACATCCCCACTATTTTGATTCTATTAACACTTCAACATTTTAAATTTTTGTGGCAAGGGGCTAGCTAAAAAAGTATTGTGCAACCCTAACATGAGAAAAACTACATTTGATTTGCATCAGTGCCTTCTGGATATGTCAATATTTCAAGTCCAACACACACACACACACACACACACACACACACACACCAAAAAAAGCCAAGAAAAAGACTTTCCAGTCACATTTTTGGAGTTGTTCTGTTTCGAACATAATTTCCCAGGCTTTATTTTTTTCCTTTCTCAATTATGATGATGATTAAAGTTGAGGCTGCATTACATGGTGACTATTGTCATACACATTTTTTTACTTCTATAAATGGGTTTGAAACAAATAAAAATTCCGGTGCACCAGAACATAAGCAATCCAAACCCCATTTTCCCACAGCATGGTAACCCAGGCATACAATAAACTAGCTAAGGCTAATCGAGGTTAATGAATCAAGGTTAAGGGTCAGCAAGTTTAGCATGTTGTGCAAATATAGCTACTAGGCATAACTGATCTGTTAAGTGAGTTGTGCAAATGCAGACTTTTCATTTTTAATTCCCCTTTGTTTGCTGTGTAACCATCTAGTCAACCTTCCCAACCTAGTAACATGAAACTATGCTGGCTAGAGATGATGGGAGTTAGTGCAATGCATCTGTTGGACATTTGGTTCAAGAAGGATGCTTGTGTCTATGAACCAGTGTTGAGATCCACTGGTTTCTTCTCCTTGCCCCCCATGTGAATGGCATTCTTAAAAACAATAATGCAGGATATAGCCCGCTAAATGGATGGGGAATCCAATGGGGACTGTATTTTAACTGAGTAGTTTTACTGCCTGGAATGACAAGCATTGATACATCTTATTATTTAAAACAATACATGAACTTCTGGGTCTATGTTGCCAGACTTTTGAAAACAAATGTCTTCAGTGTTAAGGTCTTCAACTGACCTTGACTGATCTCTCTCTGTCTCTCTCTCTCTCTCTCACACACACACACACACACACATATATATATATTAGTAGGTCACAGACTGTGTTGGTCCTTAAACGAGAAACCACAGGACTGGAGGTTGGAGTGGAAGTGAAAAAAATGGAAGGAGGCACCAGGAAATCCTTTCCATACCATCCTGAGAAAGCTGAATAGATGCATCACCAGACTCCAACCCCAACTTGAAGACTTCATCTTTGCTTTAACTTTATAAACCATCCAGACAACTTTAGTTTAAAACAATACATTGATAGCATTTCAAATGCCAAACTATACTTAAACTGGGGGGCTTCAGGTGTGTCTTATACACACACAAGAACAGAGAGAAATAATCTGCACTTACCTATGCCAAGACAGAAAATGAAGATTGCAATGGACTCTTTAACCATCACAGCAACTCTATCAAAGAAGGGGGGAACACGGCAAATTATAATATGCTTTGGAGACAAAGAATGGGTCCACAATCAGTTTCAGAAATGAGTATCTACCGGATGGGGCAGGATTCTGCCACAGGAGCTTTGTGGGTAGGATCTGTAGCAAAAATACTAATTGTGCCTAAAGAGCAAGGAAGAGGAGAGTTTCAGAACTGACCCCATCCTTTTTCTGCTGGAGACAACCAACCCCTGAACTCCTTCGCCCCCCCTCTACCTATCGTTCCTTATAAAATGAGGGATCAGGTATATCCCAAGCAAAGGAATTCAAAGAATACAAGCTGAGCAAAGTCTGGACATTTCAGGTTGCTTAAAATAAGAAGCTAAAGAAAGTGAATCGGCAATCCACCAGTTTGTATTATCTTACCGGCAGTTGATGACCTTGCTGAGATGAAGGGATGTCCTGGAACATATTCCTAGCGAAATATGGCCAAGCCAGGTTGACAGTTGGACTGCCCCTCCTTCAAATGGATAAGCAGAGGGGTGGAGTTTCCTGCTTCTCTGGCTTTCACTGAATAAGCCAAATGTAATGCCACATCGCTTTGTTCAATTTTTTTTATACCCTCTCAAAAGAGCTGTCTCAATTTTGGTGAAACTCTACCTATGGTCCAGTCCTGTCTCCTCCTTTCCCTGCATCACTTGAATGAAGAATATATATTGTATTATGTACAGTTAGCCCACAGGACGCAGTATTTCCAAACAACCAGGCAGTTAAAATTGCAACACGTGCAACCGTTTGGCCAGCAAGCAAGCAAGCAATGAGACATTTGGGCAACCTTGTGAAAGCCCATGAGTGTCAGTTCCTTCAACTGCTGTACTGAGGTTCAGGTCTTCTCCAAAATCATTCCTAGAATGGTTTTAAGATATAAGTAAGTCGATTTTAGCATGACAGCACCTTCTCTGGAAACCTAACTTCAACTAGCTATGGTTGAACTTTTAACACCAGGAGGCTAAGGTTCAGACAACATACTTAGCTAGGTTAAAACAGAGTTGAGTCATTTGTGATTCAGCTTGTCACAAGAAACTACTGTATGTGCTGTCTTAACCACCAGTTTGGTGTCATTTAGTGAACCAGAGTGACCTAGAGTCTAGTGAGTAAGAGGCATACAGTACAAATAGCTG